TAGTAACTTACTTTAGTTTTGACTTTTGATAAATAAAAATTATATATTTAAAAACTCTTTTAAATATATAATTTTTATTTATCAAAACTAAAGTAAGTTACTAAAAAGTTAAATTAATTAAATAATTTAAGTTAAGTCTTATTAATCAAAATAAGATATAGAAAATGGGATATAGAAAGAAAACAAAATTCAATGCAATAATGATACACAAATAAAAAAAAAATTAAAAAGTAGAAATTAACTTTAAAGAGTGAATATAACTCATGGTTTTATTCAATCGTTACACCCTGCACCATGGCGCAAAGTGCAGTGCACCCCGCGCCTCCCAAAACGACGTCGTTTTGGAGGTGCGGTAGGGAGTTGACGTGATTATGTGTATTTATTTATACAATTATGTGTATTTTTTATACAGTTATATATGTTTATTTATACAATTATGTGTATTTGTTTATACAATTATGTGAAACGACGTCGCTTTGCATCAGGGCGCACAATGCAATTTAATGCGCGCCTTGATGCACGATATAAATTGCCGGTTTTATTAGATTGGGCCTATCACAAAACTCTATATCTGGGGCTAAATTGGGCAAAAAACACAATTAGATAATATAGAACGTAAGTTGTAGGTGCCCTTCAAATTTCTCCGCCCTATAGCATTTTTTTTATCCCTTATTCTCATCATTTGCACTCTAACCCCCTAAACTATCCACCCCTTTGCACTTTGTACCCCGTCATCTAGTGTTTGCACTTCAACTCTAAGATTTCCGCTTATTCGCACTTTGTATCACATTTTCGGTAAATTATTGTGTGGACCATTAATATTAGGTATATTTTTAATATATTAAAAGTACATTATTTTGTACTGAAGGTACATTATATAAAATAATGTACCCTTAATATATTAAAAATGTATTTTCAAAAATGTACCTTACGTACATAAATAATATACTCTTAGTATATTAAAAATGTACTTTTTATGTGTAGACCATGTTCCATGCAATAATGATTGCACATTTCCTCAGCCTTTGCAATCAACTCCTAAATTTTGCTCATTAGCCTAGCCCATACCCCCAACCTTTAATCCTAGCCCAATTCGCACCCCATTCTTTAATTTCTTAACCCATTGAGTCTAATCTGCCGCCTTCATTAGCTTCGTTATTATAAATCATTATAAGTTTTGTTAACCAAATCAAACACATAAAATGAGACAGAGTTAGGGAGATTATGATTTGTATCAAATAAAACCACTATTGCATGAAGAGTATGATGTCGATATGAAAAATCCTAACTAATGACTTTAAAGCAAGGTGAGAATAAAAGACATGATGACATTTGTGTAAATAACTCAAATTTTAAAATACAATTAACAATAATACCATAGAGTGTACCTATCATATTTAAGTCTAGGAATAACTATATACGCCTTGAGCACTAGAACAAGGAAAAACATTTTTTTTTTTTTAAATAATTCTTAAAAGTTTTGTTGTTGTTGTTCTTATTTCAAATTGAACTCTGGTTATGCATACGCAAGAGTGAAGTTGGACATTCATTTACTAGTTCATATGCATCAGTCAAAATGTGTTCTTTAAGAAAAACAATAAAAATACTCATAATTCTTTACAAGTAAGTATCTGTTCTATATTTTCTCAAACATTTTCAGCATAAAGAATCTAAACCTCTGTCAAAATGTGTTTAAATGATAAGAACCTAAGAGTGGCTTCCAATTATTAAACCTAATACTTTATATGTAAAAACTGCATATACTTAATACAATTATTTCACAATATCTACTCTAAGAAACGAAATTTTAATTTTATTGTGTATTTTTATTTTTTAAATATAAAATTTTTAATCCCTTAATTATTACATTTTATGAAATTTGGTCCATGTCTTTTAATTTGAATAAATTTAGCAATTGTTATACCATGGACCAAGGTCCATCTTGCATTGTTGACCCCAATTCAAAACAACATTATATAATGTGTCTGCAGTTAACATATTATGTGCTTTCAATTAATAGATTATGTGCCTATAAATAAATTTAAGGTACATAATATGTTAATTGCAGTCACATAATTTATTAACTGCAAGAACATAATATGTTAACTACAGATACATAATATGTTAATTGTAGTAGGTACATAATTTATGTTTGCAGTTAATAAATTATATGTCTGCAATTAAAATATTATATACTTTCAATTTATTAGGCACATAATCCATTAGTTGAAAGCACATAAAATTTTAACTTGTAAGACACATAATCTGTCATTTTGGACGAGGGTTCACAATACAAGTTAAACTCTGGTCCATGGTATAGTTTTCCTAAATTTAGTCACTTAAGAAAAAATTAGACAATTGTGTATTAACAAATTCTAAGAGTATTATACTATGAGAAACTAAGAATATCATTGATTTGTTTACATGTATTTGATGCCCCTCTTGCTTAATATATATGTTTTCTAGGAAACCTTGGTATCAAAAGGCAATGGACATGGCATCATTATGGAAAGCCTTTGCAAAGCCATCTGAAATTCCAACAACAAATGCTACATTATGGAGAACACTCTCAAAATCATCACAGATTTCCAACTCTAATTCCAATAGACACAAGCTAAGAAAATGCACCTCCTTGAAGGTGGCAACTTCTTTCACTAGGGTTTGTTTATGTGCACCCATTTCTTCATACACAGAAGTCTTCCCGGCTGAAGTCCCCCCGAGGAGAAGTAACAGTTATCCAAGAACAAAGCCAATGATTACTCCCCCAACATCAAAAGACCAAACTAGGGTTCCGAGCGCGAGGATCAGCATGGAGGGAAGGAGAATTTTTCGAGGAAAATCCTTGACGGATGATGTTCTTATGAGGAGATTTGTTGTTGAAGAAGAAGCAATGTGGCAAGTTAGGAGGAGGAACCAGATGGAAGCTATTAGGAGAAGAAGTTCCATAAAAAGGAGAAAGCTTGGGCCTAGTCCTCTAAGTAGAATGATTTTGGCTGAGGAGGAATGTGATTGAGTTTAATTATATTACTTGTACTTAGGTTGCATAAAATGTGCCAATTCAGTTGAGGGTATCTAAACTCAAAGTTTCTTCATTGGGGCAATTGGAATCGGGGTTTGGTTTTTGTGGGTGCTTTAGTTTATGCCACTTGATCGAGTATGGTAAGTTGTAAAATGTACCATGGTAAGTGAATTCAATGATATTTTCTAACCTCTTTCATTTTGATGCAATCAATACGGAGTACAATATTTGGATTCTTCAACTATATAGATATTTTTATTTTTATTTTTATTCAAGATTTATCAATACAATTACTTTTTGATTCCTAAAAAAAAAAAAAAAAAAAAAAAAAAAAAAAAGGAAAAGGGTCAAATAGGCCCTCGAACTTTAGCTTAAAAGTCAATTAGGCCCCTAAACTTTTAAAGGTGGAATTACACCCATCAACAATTCATTTAGGTGCAATGAAGCCCAAAAACAAGTTAATGACCTGCTATCACAGGTCATTAGGGTTCAGGCCACCTTCCGGCGAATTTTTCGGCAAAAAAAGTGACCAGCAACTGACCCGGATTTGCCGAAAATTTCGCTGGTCACTTTTTTTTTTTTTTTGTCGGAAATTTCGCCGGTCAATTTTTTTTTTTTTTTTTTGCCGGAAAATTCGCCGGAAGGTGGCCTGAACCCTAATGACCTGTGATAGCAGGTCATTAATTTGTTTTTGGGCTTCATTTCACTTAAATGAATTGTTGAGGGGTGTAATTGCACCTTTAAAAAGTTTAGGGGCCTAATTGACTTTTAAGTTAAGTTCGATGACCTATTTGACCCTTTTTCCAAAAACAAAAAAAAAATTAAAAGATCCAATCTGAATTAAAATGTCCAAAATGCTCTCATTTTCATTATAATTTGTCATTCATGACATGAGAATATTTAAGACATTTTGAACTAGATATGATTTATTTTAAAATTTTGAGAAAATAAAAATGGTTAACTTCACTGTCAATGATTAAAAATAAAAGTGAATCTTCTCAAAAAAAAAAAAAAAATGAAAGTGACTAATATTGAACAAAGTTAATATTAGAGAGTTGCGATATAATACATCCGTTGGTTTTTGAACATAGTTTGGCTGTTATGAAGAGATTGCAAGATAAAGCCATTATAGGGACATTTGTCAGCGCACTTAGATATTCCGAAGGAAGATAAAGTTGAAATGCGAAGGGGTGAATGGTTGAGGTGAATTTCAAATATGAATATCTTCTTTCAATATTATTATTGGGGTCATAAGACACTTGGATAGCTACTTACCCACAAATGGCAAAATTCCCTCCGCCCCCACAACCCATACCCCACCCACAAGACACTAGAGACCAAGGTTCGAAACTTGACAGCAACAACGTAAGAATTATATCCAAAATAGGAAAATTCTTTGTGCAGACTGAAATTTGACCGTGTCTGCAAGTCACTAAATTACCGTTATTTACATCCTCTATGCCCTATCAAACCAAGATAGTAACTCAATGGCTCATTACGCTAAAAAACTAGTATCTGGTTCCCACAAAAAGCCCAATATATTAGATATAACTAGTATGTCACCCGTGCGATGCACGGACTAAATATTTAAAATATTAAAATCATGTTATGTTATTAAAAATATTAATGTTATTAAATTTCATATATAAAAAAAGCAAATATGAGATTTGTACATTTATAAAATTATGTAATTAAAATAATAATTAATATTTCTGATGGATAATTACTAAAAAGTGTTAATGTTATATATGGTCATTCGAGGTTATTTGTGATCATCCAAGTATAGTGATTTTACCACTTATAAAACAAATTCATACTTAACATTTTCATTCCAAGCAAAAAAAATGATAAAAAATTATAGCATTAAAAATATAATTTCTTTACATTTTCATTCTAAAAAAAAAAAAAAAAAAAAAAAAAAAAGATAAAAATCATAACATTTAAAATATAATTATTTACTTAAAACAAAAAAAAAATATCTGGGCCAAAGTATACATACATTTAAATATATAATATTTTGTTTCTTTGGTCCAAATCAAAAGCCCAAAACAAATCACATTACAAACCCATTTCAGCTCACATATTATAAACAAAATCCAAACCCTAAATCTATCAACAGGCAGCATCACTACCCCTGTCTGAATATCTTCTCTGCCTAGTCATTGTTCACTTTGTTTCTGTCCGAGAACTGCTACATCGTCTCCTCTCTACCAATTTAACAATCACAGCCCTCCCTACACACCTTCTTGCTTCCTTCTACCGATGGTTTCATTTTTTTCTCCGGCGAGGTGGTAGAGGTTTGTTTCCAGAATATTCTTATCTGCCTGCACCAATTTATTTTTTCCCCAACCTCCTAATTTCTATTTTTTTTTGTCTGCTCACTGTATTAGTAAATGGAAAGAAAAAGCAAGAGGAAGATGGAGGATGTTGATGAGACAGAAAGCTAGCGAATCATTTTGGACCGTTCAGCCAATGGGGCTTCCTTTTCCTCATCAAATGGCGGTGACTCTTTTTCTCCTCTGACTTTTGATTCATCCCACCTTTCACTGCACTTCCCACCGTCAAACAGTTCTAGATTTTCCGGCACCGGATGACGGTCAGCATGCTCGGCGGCGATAGAAGGACCAGTGTGGAGGAAGAGTACACCCAGAGACACCACAGACATGAGGTCGGAGAGAACCAGTGTAGCTCCTCGCTCGTTAACCACATCAGAGCTCCTGTTCATCTGTTGTTCTTCCGATTTTCTGTTGGTTTCTGCTGAGTATTACTCCGATCTGGTCGTTCGTGCTATTGTTTGAAATATCGTTTTGGGTGAATTTTAGCTATTATATTTGTTCATTTAATTTATTACTACGCAAGGGAAAATATAAAAAAAAAAAAAAATTATGAATTTGTTGGGGTTTATGATTTGAAAGGTAAAATCTAACATTTAAAAAAAAAAAGTTAGGGTTTATGATTTGGACTGAAAAATATATTATTTACACTATTTTTATTCAGGTTTCCTTCAAAAATCACAATATTAAACATTGCTCATTGATTGAAAAAATTATTAATTGGTAGAACCACCAAAAATAGACACAAACAAAAAAACAGGTAAAAATCTTTTTTTTTTTTAATTGTTAGCTATTCTTTTGCACGTACACATACATTATATATATATATATATATATAAAATTACATTTTAGCATAGGCATGAATTCAACAAAAGAACTTTGACAGTTTAAGAATCTAAAAGACTAAAAACTTCATAAATTTTTAATACTATATATGTAAGTTAAAAAAAAAAAAAACAATTTTAAGTAAAAATTAAATCACACAAGAAGGAAAAAAAATTTAAAGCCTAGAATGCTAAGAAAGATAAAAATAGTTTAAGGATAAATAATTGTAATGAGCAGTAAATAATGACACTAAATATGAATTTAAGAAAATGAAAATAAAAGAACTAAACTTGTATACTATTTACTATGCAAATCAAATTCAATAACTAAGCTTTATTCATTATATTAACTTCTAATCAGCATGCATGTTTCTTTCTAGTACTAAGAGAATTGTTTTATAAATATGGTGCAGAATTGAGACACATATCCAAAGCAAAACAGGAACAAAGATTGAATTTAAAACAATAGGTATGTTTCTATTGTACATTTATCTTCATCATTGTGTTTTCTCTTTCCACATGTGCTTGTTGACCCGTTCAACATTTTCATTTTGCCTGCATTTGTTAACTATTCACTTTGAAAAGTTTTTCCCTCCAAATGAATTTACATTAGACATGTTCCTCTCTTAAATGCCATATATATAGATATCAACTTCTAGAGAACTCAAAAGCCACTATCAAGGATTACAATAGGGTACTCAATGTTACTGCATGCTAGTAGGGCTAGATATAGGGGTAAAGTAAAAATGTTGTGTGTATCCGTTAGTGTGTAACTTGTAGTCTACTCAAGCACATAGTACATCGTTTTTGTTTCATGATTACATTTTTTAATTCAATTACTAACAATCTACAATTAGATGCAAATGCTGATAAAAGAGTCTGAAACCTTTTTTTTTTTTTTTTAGTTATTGTCTTCTTATACAACTGGTGTATAATAAGCTTATTATTAGGAGTTCATCAGAAACCATATCAAGAGAACAAATACAATAAAAATAAAAATAAAAATAAAAACTTATCATCTATATACATATATATACATACCATCAATAACACAAATACTATACTCTAGACTTATAAGTTCCAAAATCCAAATAGTAACATCTAAAATTACATGCAAGTGATGATAAAAGAGTGTGATGCCCTTTTTTCTTGATTAAAGTGTTCTAATTAATTTTAAACATTTTTTTTTCTTTTTTGTTTCTGATTCAAGTATTTTTTGCTTTCTGATTAAGTGCTCTGATGCTTTTTTTAGTATGTTATTTAGTTTTAGTTTTTGATACAATTTTTTGGTTTTCTGAATCAAGAAAGCAAATACATATAAAATATTTTCAAGGTTCCATTAATGGCATTTGTATTTTCAAAGTAACAATCAAATATTTTCAAGTATGTAATCTATACTTTAGTCAGATTATGTCTATGCATTATATATATATATATATATATATATATATATATATATATATATATATATATATATCTGTTTTTTTTTCAATGAAAAAACACCAACATACCATGAGTATCACAGAAGAAATTAAAATTTAAAAAAAAAAAAATTACATTACCATGACAAATGGCTAATAGTAAACTGCAAACACACACTCTTGACTAATGTGTTTTCATCTCCAGGTTTCAGTGACAACATACTTCAGCACACCTTTGTGGTCTGTTGAGGATGAAGCGGCACCAACAATAAACTGCCCGTACATCTTCTTCTTTGATCGTAGAAATATGAAATATGTTTTTTTCAGTTTGTATTTGAGTAGAGGTTGAAGTCTCCAAACATGTATCTTCTATATATCTATATATATAAGCGTGGAATTGAGGACTGCCAAGAGTACACCACTCCCATACCCAGTTTGGTTGAAATCACACGGCAACTCTGTAAACAGACAATAGGCCACTCCCCTACAAATAAGGCCTGACAACATAGGTTTCTGAAGTCGGATGGGCAGCAGTATACATTAATTTGATTGGCCAAGCAGCAAAAAAAAAAAAAAAAAAAAAAACCAAAACCAAACGTCACCGATTTTTGTGGGCGGGAATTGGACCCAAAAAGATCTGACTCTTTTATATATAGGATAGGATAGGATTTCCACACTAATCATTCCGCTACTATCCCAAAATTTTTGATTGGATGAATGGCTCCTAGGTGGGTGTCGATGGCTGTTGGTGGTAGAACCACTGCTCCGAGATTATCTTCACTATAATATACTATGGTCTTCCTTAGCATAATGCCCACCATAGCATCTGCTTTGGGGTAGGGGTAGATCCTCATCAATGAAGGTGATAACCCATGCCCCAGTGCTTCTTTTTCTAGCTTAGTTTGGATTTCAAACTCCAAATTGGATCATATAAATAATACCCACCGTCAAAAAAATAACCATGCTCAAGGCTACAGAAAATATTCAGATTCTTTTTAGTACATCCCAAGAGAGTGGGGTTTAATCTATATTCTCAGGTCACTAGACTACAAAGTCTAAAAAAAAAACTCATTTCAAATACAAATATTGAAATTTTGTTTCCACTCTTCAGCGAATTATAAAAACTTCCATGAAGCTTTACCAGAATAAGCAGGAAGGGTATAAGGCTAAATTCATGGACACAGGGAAGATCTTTATTGACTTAATTTCCTTCTCACAAGTCCCTTGAAGAAGTCAAAACTGCAGTAAAAATGATTACAATATTTTTAAGTCAAAAAACACAATTTACTTGAAATGAAATTCAAATATAAGATTGGTTTATAATCTGTCAAATTTTTTAAAAAGTAAAACTATAATTATAAATTAAAAAAAAAATAACCTTCAAAAATACAATTCCAGTGATATTATCAAGAAAGCACATATATACTACATTCTCTCCAGCACAAAATTTTCCTTACTGATAAACATCTATAAAATAATAAAGCACACAATAACAAAAGCATTCATACAGGCACATATATACTGGGTATGTAGCAAATCGATCAAGTGTCTAATGCACACGATACATACAATCAACTGTAAGTGTACACAAGCAACAAAATCATCATCATCATCATCGATATATCCGCATTTCTTATGCAAAGATATAATAAAAATTAAATAAATATCTAGTAAACTTAAATATAAATACTTTGTGAAACAATCACCATCCCATATGCTTTTATCTTTCATCACTAGGGTAGCTTCTATTAACAGGCTTGTCAAGCTGAAGACGTGGTGGTACATCAAGGGTAATTTGGTGCAAAGAGAACTATGAGGCAAGTTGTGCTAGTGATTGTTAGGGACGGTGTTTGGTAAATGGCAATTAGCTGATTGGGTTAGTGGGTTTAACTAGTTGATAGCATTAACTAATAGTAGAAAAGTGTTTGGTAAATAGTTGTTAGTTGATTACATACAAAATGACTTTCTCAAAAAATTGACCGAAAAAACTACTTTGAAAAGCTATTTGAATTTTAGCATTTTGGAGCAATAAGTTGTTACAAAAAGTTAATTAATCAAACACCTATATTGATTGTTTAACCAAGTCAAATAGCTAATAGTAGTCAAATAAGCTAAAATTGGTTGATAGGCTAACTATTTTACCAAATAGGGCCTAAAGATGGAACCAGACTAGCAATGTTTTTTTTTTTTTTTTTTTTTTTTTTTTTTTTTTTATTGAGCATGATTAGTAATACAGTATAATTGGTTGAAAGAGAGGTGATGGACTTAAAGGATGGATTGGACTAACAATCCTATGCGTGGTTGGAGGATTAATGATTGTATGTAAAGCAATCTCAGGACATGATGTCAGGGTGTTGGAGAGATTGAGATTATGTATGAATGGTTATTTTCTCCAAATCCAAGAGAAAACAATCAACCACACCCTAGGACTCACTCTCCCAGACCCTAATCAAATTTGGTTAGTGAGAGAGTGGGCAAGCCTTTTGGTTTACGTAAAAGATGTTAGTGTTACATCAGAGAAACCTCAGAAATTTACCTTCAAATCATCCCAGATTTTGTATACCTCTAATTGTGCAGAGACTCAAGATAACTTTTGTAATAGAAGCACAATAATGTGCTGTATGCTAAAGCAGAAACATATAATGGGGTTTTCTGGCTGAAATGTTAGCATTTCCCAATCTGATCACTACTTAAAACACACACAAGACTGATAATGAATATCAGGTATATGATACCTATATACCTGTTGCCATCGGGATGAAGTTCACATGTTTGACCATCATCAGTTATGGCTAATAAGTAACCTGACGATGATAAGCCCTGAATACAGAAAATTAATTTAGAAATCTCAAGCATAAAGTCAGAGAAAAAAAAAATCAATTCATGAAATAACACCAATGGTACCAAATAAAATTGGAGAAGTTGGCCAAATAAGAATTTATAAAGTAAAAACCCTTTCATCCGATATATTTATCTGAAGGGAAAATATTAAAGAAGTCAGCTGACCTGAATGGTCACTACATTCTCTACAAACTGATCCTGGTTTTCAGTTTTCTCCTGTACAATAACTCGCTGTCCACTGTAGTCAAAATAAATCAGAAGAAAGAATACTAGCAAATCCATGAAAATAATTCCAAGCACATTTAAACTTCACAGATATCAGCACTTGTTAACCAGATCCAGTAAAACAATCCTTTAAACATGTAAATCAAATACTGAGTTGAAAGCAAAATAGTGGAAAAACCTCTCCCATATTATATCATATATTGTTATGTTAAACAGATGCACAATCATATGTAGGGATGACTGTCATATATATATAATAAGTTTGCATTGGGCATAAAACCAAGTGAAATAATTCCAGAAGCAAGACATTTTTAAACACAGTAAATGCAAATGTTTTACCTGTGGAGCCAAGTCTTGTAGTACAACTCCTCAAGAGGCTGAAATCCTGCATAGACTGAAAATTACAATAGAACTATAACGATAGACATGATTAACGCACAGTAGAGGTATAGGACTAGTACTGCATGATCCATTACCACTAAAATCGAGATGATTGTATAACAATTAATGGACCTGTAATTCTAAAGGTTGTTAACAGCAAATTTGTAACATCAGTTCAAGAAAAACAAGATCTTAGGAACACTATTATAATCACATCTCCAGGCATCATGACAAACTTGGAATAAATGAGGCAAAACCAAAGGGATGGAAGTAAAGGAGGAGGGAGATAGGCATTACATTCTCTGGTTACAGGGTACAAAGAGGAAAATTGGAAGGGTGGAGTATACAACTTTATCAGCCTTCATAAAGTCTTGATTATTGTAAAATGAGTGAAAAGAAGAAGAAAAAAAATTATTTTTCTTTACTTACAATCCCTCTGAATGAAAGGACAACAGATATAATCTCCTAACACAACAAACAAAGCAATTAAGTTGGGTGTAGAAGACTCGATCATTCTAAACTCTATAAACACTTAAGCAGTGTACTTACTAGATTTCCAAGTAAGCATGTGATGAACAGGGAATAAATGAGCAAAAATCGGAGGAAATGAAGTAAAAGAGGGAAATCTGAAATTACAGTCTGGCTAGAAGGTACAAAAAGAAATCAGAAGGGCAAATGTTACAACCATACTAACCTTTATAAAGCATTGCAAGATGGATAAAAACTCAGGACGTATGTTTCCATTATTTAATATCCCTTTGAATTTAACAACATGAAGTGGAAATAATTCTCAGAATAAAAAAACTCAGAAAGTCACCTTGGTACCCTAGCTTAACTTCTTTGGTAAAAAAAAAAAATGTCAAACTACTTTATGTGCCCCCCCCCACACACTTTTAGTTATTGAGTTAATACCAAATTTAATCATCAACTATAGTGGTTTTTTCTCGATTTAGTCCAAAAAGTCTTTTTTGTGCTTAATTGGGTCCTGAATTTCAATGGTTTACCTAATTGAGTCCTTTGTTAGGATAACTTGGTAATTTCCCCTCTATTAATACCCAATTTAGTCCACAACTATAGTGGTTTTTCTCAATTTAGTCATTGATTCTAACAGCCAAGGACTCCATTAGGTAAAACCATCAAAGTTCAGGACCCAATTAAGCACAAAAAGACTTTTAGAACTAAATCAAGAAAACCACTATAGTTGAGGACTAAATAAAGAGGCAATCACAAGAAAAAAACAATTACACTGTTGCTTGTTCCTAACTTGTCTTTGTTGGGGTCAACAAGCCTTACCCAAAACCATAAAACTATAATGTATTGTAACTATTGTTTATTCTCAAAGGGCCTACTAGCATCAAGAAACTCGAGACAGCATAAAAATGGGAGAAAACTATGGGATTTTACTTTCTTGTTCACAGAAACCATAAAAATAAAAATAAAAAGAAGTGGATTCAAAAAGTGGCAAGTATGTGTCTTATTATCCCACGATTGCTCATATTCAAAGGAAAAATATCTCACCTTGATTAAAGAAAACATCAATGAAGCTCTCAACCTTATTGAAAAAGGCTGCCATAATATCTTCCCTTTTAAATATGTTTGGAACAGAAGTTGATTTCTGCAGAACAGTATTCAAGCATGTTGTGGGCTTTTCATTATCTACATTTATGCCTATTCCTGCATAACAACAGTCAGATGTCAAAAAACCATTGAATCAAGTTTTTAAAACCCTCACACTGATAAATATATACACCACCAAGAAAATCCCAAAGTCCTCTTGTAGTCTTGTTGGAGATTTAAGCAGTTCAATAAGGCAAGCAACAGAAATTTATAAAAAGTCCCAATGCACAGATCCCATATTATGACAAGTTTAAGTAGATTTATTTTTAATATTAGCAACACACTAACTCCTGTGATGTGGAAATCAAGAAAATTAATAGAAGGAAGCATCTCCCCTAAACTCTAACCACCTTGCCCCCAAAAGGAAAAACACAAAGAGAATACAAGAGGAAGAGAAATTGAAGAAAAAGGAGAAGTATTATTGTTAGTTCATTATATTAAGTGAATGAACTCAATAAGAAAATCTTTTGTTAGAAAGTCTGACTGTTTACCAGCACTGATATTAAACTTCTGTGACTTATATGTTGAAGTGCACAAAATGCCACCAACCTTAAGGCCACCTAAATATAAATCATTTGGCCACTTTATTCTTACATCAAGACGTGGTATACCCTGAAATGAAATACATTATCCAAAACAATGATACTAAACAAAATCCAATAGGAGCAAATATTGAAATTTGGAAGAGTTAAAGCATTAAACTATAATACATTTAAATATTACTCAGCGGAAATTCAGCAAAATCAACTTTAACGGATAAAAATCAGTTATAAAGAACTTACATATCACTGCTTCAAATTTCCTTCATATAAAAATCATTGATGAAACCTAGGGAAAATACTTCATAAATTGAATGGCAATAAACCTAAGGTAAGAGATATATTCATTTCGTCACTTGATACACATTATTTAAACATTATAGGTTTTGAATAAATCATTTACTATAGATTGGGAAAATTAGACTCTCTCCTCTTAAGGTTAGAAAGATTTGGATGTGCGCCATGAACTTTCCTTTTCATCATTCATAAGAAAAACTACTAAAAGGCTCTCCACAAGCAACAGCAAATTGCAGTATGTTTAAACAAACTAGAGTCCTCAGGATGAATCTTATATCACATAATAATTCAGAGGTTTTATCTCAATAAGTGTTGCCCAAACTTTTTAAAGCGAAAAAGCGCACTAAAGCGAGTTGGGATTTGCTTTAAAGTGCAAAGCGAAACGTCACTTTTTCATGCAAAGCAACTCTTTAAATATATATATATATATATATATATATATATATATATATATATATATATATATATATAGTCAAAAAACTCCAAATATATTCAAATAGTAATGCAAAATAACATAAATAAGAACTCATAAAGTCACAATATCATAATAATACAAACTTTAGTCATCAAAATAAAGTCATTCAAGCCAAATTGTCACCAAAATATCACATATACAATATTCATAATCAATCATTCAATCCTCCATCTCAAAATCATCTTCTTCATCACCCAAATTGTCAAACTTAATAACTCTATCATCTTCAATGCTTCTTCATCAACGTCATCTTCATCCACTAGTCTACGTTCGGGAACCTTTTCCTTTCCCTTAGACCTTGAACTCCCTACCTTCTCTTTTCCTTTAGAAGCATGCCTAAGAGAATATGGAGTTTCATTTGCACCCGAAAACTTAACAATTTTCCCCAAGTCAATCCATCTCTATCATCAAACACCAACTCTTCATTAGCATCATCTGGGATACTTGTCAACCATTCATTAGCAGAATCAATTTGATCCAAACTAATTGGATCAATAGTATCCCGCATTTCCCATTGCCGCCTCAATGTTCTATTATACTTAATGAAAACCAAATCATTAAGGCGCATGTGCTCAAGGCGACTTATCCTTTTCGAATGCAACTGAAATATTTAAAATTATTTAGTGCTTAAATATGTTATAATTGCTAATTAATAACTTCAAAATGATAAGTTGACTAACTTACATGCTCAAACACACTCCAATTTCTTTCACATCCCGACACACTAGTGGTGAGACTAAGAATCTTAATTGCAAACTCTTTCAAATGTGGAGTTGAGCTCTCAAAAGAATTCCACCAATCAACTGTAAAATTTGAAAATTATTCAAGGTTTGCAATATTTTGATTATAAATAAAAATTGTAAGTTAGATTGTCTAAGAAGTAAGACCCTAGAGGTTAGAACCACGTTGTTTCTTGGCAATTGGCAAGCCAAATAAACCACGCCCAGCTTCCCAGGTAAACACTTCCTCGGCAATTTTCTCATAGACATCTTGATCTGGAACCAACCTCTCCAAACACTCATAAAAGCCAGCAAAAACTTCTGGCGATTTAACAATAGAAGAAACCAGTGTCTCACCACTATACTGAAAGCAATATGGATTCAAGTAGTACGCAACTGCATGCAATGGTTGACGGAGCTGGGAACTCCACCATTTATCTAGGATTTCAAACTCAGATTGACGGAGATCAACATCAGGATATTGTATTCTATTTGGGGGTAATCTTGTTTCTTGGAAAAGTAAGAAACAAGATGTGGTTGCACGTTCAAGCACAGAAGCAGAATACCGAGCAATGTCACTTGGAATATGTGAGCTAATTTGGGTTTAAACAACTTCTTACAAAACCAATTTCTATAAAACCGATCCTATGAAATTAATGTGATAATCAAGCAGTGCTGCACATTGCATCTAGTCCTGTCTACCATGAAAGGACCAAACATATTGAGGTTGATTGCCACTTTATACAAGAGAGGGTTGCATCCGGAGACATTGTTACCACATTTGTTGGGTCAAATGTTCTCACCAAATCTCTCCGTGGATCTAGGATTGAATACATTTGTAGCAAGCTTGGAGCATTTGATTTATATGCTCCAACTTGAGGGAGAGTGTTGGAAAATATTTTTTGTTGGAAACATTTGTCTTGGCCAGCCTGAAATTTACTCTTGTTGTTGTGCTTTGAGAAGAGGATTAGGTTTCTTGGGCAGTTTAAAATTTATTGTGTACTTTTCCAATGTCTTTTGTTTGCCTATATATTTGGTGTGTAATCTGAAGCTTTATATGGAAGAATAAACATCATTTCTACTTTTCCCTACTACTGTTCTACAGTTGTAATTTGATATTCATTGTATCAAGCAAAAGTAATATCTCAAAAGTGTCATTTAAAGAATAATCATTCATCTATTTTACATGCACTACTTACCGTATTTAGAGGTGCTTGCATTCCCACTTTTTATTATGAAAACTTAACCAGATTTGATGCTGTTAAATAGGTGCAACACATCCAATTTCTATCTTAAACTGAATTCTCTGTATTACATTCAACCTACAATTTCAAAATGCAACAAGACTAGGAAAATAAATTTTGCAATGCACTTACATATTGCATGCAGAGATCATTAATAGCATCTGTCATGGCAAGACTGACTACATACTGAACATGTGGCACCATTCGTCCATCTTCCATTTGTAAGGTAAAGGAAAATAGAAGGGAACCCTTTGGTGATTCCCACACATTCATTGAACGACCTACACAGATAAGTGATCAGACAAAAAGTATCATAAACTTAAACTATTTATTGCAGCACAACTCCCATAATACCTCGCCCCTTGAATTGCACATCAGCGACACACACTGCACCAACTGGCAGCTCACAGAAATTTCTGCCTAACAAAGAATAATTTCAATGGTGAAATTGTAGTAGGGGCCAGGGCCAGGGCCAGGGGGCAATGCTTGGGTTGGGCCAATTCTTATCATATTTAAAGTCAAAATTTTAACTGATTTATAAAATTTGATAAACCGTATATGTTATTAGTTTCAATACTTCTAGTCATGTTATATCCGGATAAAAATTTGATCCAAACAAAAGATGTTAAAATGTCACATAGAATAGCCTCCAAAATAAAAGTATATACATTTCACTCAAACTAAACACATTTGAAAACATTTTGAATATCGAGTCTTAAAAAGCACACAAATTTTTTTATGTAATTAATTTTATAACATTATAGTCCCAAAAAATTAAGTTTGGAAAACGAATGTGAAAAATTGCTGCCCATAACATATTTTCTAAATTGAAAAATATAATAAAGGGAATGGGAAAACTGGAAAACAAAAAGTGGAAAATGGAAAACGGAAAACTAGATAATTGAGGTAAAATGCACCCTTAAATTTTCAAATCCTAAAGTTATCAGCTAGGATCAATTTTATTGAAGCTAAGTATGAGCTTTAAAATAGGAATTCAATCTACTTTTACTTTTGGCTCTAGTTAGTTCATAAAAATACTAAACAACTATCCAATTATTATAACCATCAAACAATTTATTTACTCAATAATACAAAATAACATAACCTCTTTTGTTCTATACATGATTACAAAATATTTATCCAAATATCATTTTTTAAGTATTCTAAAAATAGTGATAACTGAAGGTAAAAAATAATGAATATTCTCATTTTCAAAGAATTTCTAGATTTTTTTGGTACAAAGGGTCACTAGAAAAGATTAAAACCCTAATAAATAGTTACTAAACCCATACATACCGTGCAACGACGTCGTGTGTCGAAGGCAATCTAGGAGAGTAAACAAGGAACCTCCCGAGGCTCATCGTCAAAAGGGATTTAGGGGGCGTTTGGTTCAGGTTATATTATATAACCAAGGGAATGTGACATTCCCGAGCTTACATTCCTATGTTTGGTTCATTTTCTCTGAGGGAATATAACATTCCCAGGGAATGCAACATTCCCTCCACATAGGATTTTGAAGGGAATGTGATTCCCTTCATTTTGTTAGGTAATGTAAGATAACCTTGCATATTTATGAATTTTGTCATTTTAATTCTAATTATTTAAAGATATATATTTTATGTTAGCTTATTATTATAATATTATTATTATTATTAAATAAATAAATAAAAGATAACCCTAAACCAAACATGATTATATTACATACCTCAATTTTAAGTTTTTAACCAAACACAGGAAACTAACATTCCTAGTAATCTAACATTCCCAGCAATATAACATTCCCTAAGGTAATCTAACATTCCGTGAACCAAACGGCCCCTTAAAGTAATCTCTAATGCGAAACCCTTCGTTTCCGAGGTTATCTTCGACCTCCGGATGCAAAACAACTTCGAATTGATCGTCCCCAAGGAGTTTCATAGCATTGTTATTCTTCAATGACTTGGCCAGTTCATTCTCAGCTGCAGATTTCCCGCATAACACCAAAAGTGAAGGCGCCGATGATTCTGATTCCATATCTAACCCCCAAAAACAAAAGTTAAAGTTGTATAAAATTAAAAAGTATTAGTAATTAATCGTACATACATACATACATACGCACATGTAGGGGAAGAAGTGGGGAAAGCCAAGTGAGAAGAAGATGCAAGCTGAGGAAGAGAGCGAAAGCAGGAGGAGGATCGATGGTGAGAGAGTAGAGAACGGCTAGTCAATATCATCCTGCTTTGTAATTTGAATAGTCCGCTTCAGCTCAAGGGAGAGAGTAAATGGGGTCATGTTCTACTCACATTACTTATTAGCGGCGCGCTCCACTTCGGGCATTGGAATCTCCATCCAATTTTTGCGGGTAAATAAATATACAAAAGAACAAATTACACTTTTGGTCCTGTAACTATTAAAGAGTGTTTGGTTCAGGTCATCTTAGATTACCTAGGTAATCTGAGTCTATAATGTTATATTACCTTGTTTGGTTCAAGTTATGAGATTACCAGGTAATGTTATATTACCTTAAAACTGATGTGGCGGTAATATTTCAAGGTAATGTGATTACTCCCATTTTTCTAGGTAATCTTAGATTACCTTGAATTATTCCAACTTGCCCTTATTAACTAGTCCTTATATAATAATAATAATAATAATAATAATAATAATAATAATAATAATAATAATGAAATTAATATATGTTTATATAATCAAATATACATATGTGTATATTTATATATTTAGTTTTTTAATATTTAAGCTTTGATATACATTCATAAATGTAAATAAATACACACACATAATATATATATATATATATATATATATACATATATATATATATATATATATATATATATATATTATTGAGGACATTATTGTAAATTGATTCATATAACCTAAAATATAACCTTGAACCAAACAAGGTAATATTATATTACACCATACAAATCAAATATACAAGGTAATCTTACATTCCCAAAATCTCACATTACCTTCCAAGAGGTAATCCTAATACCTGGGGTAATCCAAGATTCCGTGAACCAAACGCCCCCTTAGGATGTTGATAATTTGAGTACGTGACTTTCAAAACTCTCAATTTAGTCCTTTAACTATGCAATTGTTAGCAGATTTGGTCCTGCCGGCCAGATCGCCGGCCAAATATTGCCGGAAAAATGTAATTTTGTTCGAATTTATTTTTGATGAGGGCAAAACAGTCATTGCAAGGCAAGATTGCTCCATTGCAGGTGCGCTCTCCTCCCTTCTGTTTCGTTCTTCTTCTTCTTTCTTGCAACGATGACTGGAAGATGGTTTTAAACAGGCTAGTGACAACACAGGCACCAATCAATAGTCAAATATCTGCTGAATCCTTATATAATCCCGTGCGTGAACACCAACCAGGCAACCACAAAATTTACAATATCGCGAAAAATTTCCTGATCAAAGGAAGATTGCTTTCAGATTCGTTGTTTACATGCCCCATGAAATCGCATTTCCTTTCTCATACAATATTCTCACCATTTGATTTTTTCCCCAAAATTGAAACTAAACTATTTTACGCATCTTTTAACCATATGCAAATAAACCTAATTACCTTTGATTTCTAAATTTTTGCCTCTGCTTTTGCGTGTCCTCGCAATTGTAGTTGCCAGACAAAATGAAATCCGAAGCTTTCACTTTGGTCTTTGCTTCTCCATGATTAAATTACGGCGAACACAAGTGTCGCCGTCGTAGTATATATAATCCACCCGATTCAACATCGGATAAATTTAAATCGATTAAAAAACGACAATGTTAATCGATCAATTTTATTTAAAAAAAAAAAAAAAAAAAAAAAAAACCTGATTGAGTAGTAGCACTTCTTTGTTAACGTCAGGCAAGATAGAGCTAACGAGCTCGTCGAACTCGATTGAGCCATTGCCGTTAGACTCCATGTGCGCCGTCAAGGCGTGGATTTGATCGCAGCTGGTTTTGAGGCCGACGGAGCAGAGGAGGGCGGCGAGTTCTAGCTGCGTTAGGGAGAAGTGCCTAAAATGACCGTTTTACCCTCATTAATAAACAATTTAATAGCATTTACATTTTTCCGGCAACATTTGGCCGGCGATTTGGCCGACAGGACCAAATCTGCTAACAATTGCATAGTTAAAGGACTAAATTGAGAGTTTTGAAAGTCACGTACTCAAATTATCAACATCCTAATAGTCACAGGACCAAAAGTGCAATTTGTTCATACACAAAATTCAAAATACAAGATAATTAAACTAAATGCAACTACACTCATACATAATTAAATATTTAAATTAATTGTTGTTTTTATTTGATAATTTTATCAATACCGGATCCACCATAAACGGATAAAAATGTACATAATGGGAGTAAGAAAATAGTAATATTATTGCTCAGGGCGGTAGGTCAAAAGAGTATGTACAATAGCCTAAGGTAATGGTCCAAATAATAAAGTTGTAGCTCAAGTAGTGGGCCAGAAATAATAATGTCATAGCTAGGAATCGAACCCAGGTAGTCGGGTTGAAAGTGCAGACATGCACTACTGAACAAGGAGAGATGTCGTGCACAGGCCACAATGTCCAAGGGGAAAGACACCCTCCATAGTGTCTCATACCCTCCCACTGCCTGCCACATGTACGGTTCCTCTCCGCCCTTCTTCCTCACCATCCACGTGTACCTTAACTCCTTCCCACACACAACCTCCCCCATGCACGCTTGGTACCACCCCACGCCGGTGGGGAACCGAGGCAACGCCATAGGGCACACCGCCCGCACTGACCATGTCGCGGTCAGAGGAAGCTAGTAGGCCCCACGCCTGCGGAACACTGGCCAACGGTGGGCGATTCTGACCCCCACATTGGTGGTGGCTCACCTCTCCCCCACTTGACAATGGGGAGGAGGCAAGGAATAGGGTCCTCGTCCAACCCAATTTCACACCCCCCATCGCCAACCCCGCCATGTTTAGTGTTGGGGAAAGGTGATTGATGAATATCGTGCTACATTAAATGCCCAATTTATTAGAGCTCTTATTTGTGGTGAGCATTGGTTTCATAACAAATATGAAATGAAGAAAAAACAAAATGTAAGAATCTTATTTTATATTACTATTACCCCGCAGGGATTTTGATATGGACAACCAGGATTACGTAACAGGCAAAGGTGTTTGAATGAGAATAAAGATGGAGAGGAAATGGTGGGGTTTTTGTTGAGATCTCCAACTCCTTGTTTTCTCTAAAATTTCTAGTTGTCTAAATATTGATTGAAGATGTCCTTTATATGGGCTAATGCAATGATGTTCTTTATATAGGCTAATGCAAGAAACAAAGAATTGTTGCTAGATTTTCTACTGAGGCAGAATATAAAGCTCTAGCAGATGTATGTCCTGAGGTAATTTGGATAGTCTCGTTGCTGCATGAAATCAATGTGCCATGTATTTCTGTTCCTAAGTTGCGGTGTGATAATCTTGGTGCTACGTATATGTGTGCAAATCCCATCTTTCATGTCGTAACAAGCACGTGGAAATTGACTATCACTTTGATAGAGATAAAATTGCTTCTGGAGACATTCAAGTCAATTTTATCTCAACAAAAGATCAACATGCTCACATAGTTACAAAAACTTTACTTAGTCCTATATTTTCTTTCATTAGAGACAAGCTACAAGTTACTAGTATACTCTGTGTTTGAGGGGGAGTAGGACTCTATGTATTTGAATCAAATTATGACTCTCTATCCCAGTCTCCCTATGTATTTGAATCAAATTTCACCAAATGCACATTTGTGTGCCTTCAAGTGCATGTTTTTGTTCTTTCAAGTGCACAATTTTTGTTAATTCAAAGTGTATTTTTTTTAAAGAGCAGTAAATCTAGATGAATTTAATAGCTGAAATTTATGTGCATTTTTCACCTAGAGAGTCTTTCGTCGATCCTAGACCTATATATATAAAAGCATGTGTGAAAATTCTATTTTTGATATTGTAATACAAAAACTATTATGAGAATAACTAATACCAAGCCACTCGATTTATTCAAGGAACACTATTCCCAAGACAATCAATGTAATATTTCTATTCCCAAGAGTGTTATTCCAATCTCGATTTATTTCTTGAACCAAACATGTTATAAATATAGTTTGCTATATAAATTGCCAATAAATTTTATGTTTACTCGATAGTAGACACTTACATAACAAAATTTTATTAGTTGTTTTTTTACTCTTGTTTTCCAAAAAGAAGGAAAGAAAAGTTTTTGGCTGTCCAACAATATTAAAATGTCGAAGGATATAAGATAATGGAAAAATTGTTAAATAAGCCAATATACTTTTTTATTTTTGTGCAATTAGGTCACTAAATTTAAAAAGTGTGCAATCAAATTATCAAACACGCAAGCAATGTGCAATTAGAATTTTTCTAATTTTTTTTCCGATAGAATCCGAGACTAAATGATATGTTCTAAAAATGGAGTAAAAATTAAAATGTTTTTAACTTAAATTACATTAAAAGAAATCATAAAAATATTTTAATTGATTTTACTTGTTTGATTGATCAATTACATTACATAATGGGAAAATGACACTTTTTCCCCCCTGAGTTATATACTTATAGCACTTTTTCCCCCTCAATTATTCAAGTGGCTGTTTTTCTCCCTAAAATGTTAAATGGACATATTTACACTTAAAATAAATATTTTATTTATTTTTCTTCTCCAACAAATTATGACCATAATTTGGTTCAAACCAAATAAACACTATAGCAACCAAACCGAAATATTCCAATTACAATTTAGAATCGAAACTCGATATTTAGAGTTTATTAAAATCCCGGAACGGACGGTTCATGTTCCGAACTGAAAAAATAAAATACATTTATTGTTGAATTTAGACTATTTTTAAAATAAAACGGTTCAAAATCGCGAATCGGGTCCGGAACCGCCAGTTCACGGTTCAGAATCCAATTTTTTTGATTCATAATTTTAATAAATTGAAATCCAAATATTGGGTTCTAGATCTGAATCATAATCGGAAACTTTTAATTCGATTGCTATAGTGTCCGATTCAGTTCGAACCGAATCGTAGTCATCCCTACGTATACGCAATAATTTGTTGGAGAAGTAAAATAAATAAAATGTTTATTTTAAGGGTATAAATGTCAATTTAATATATTAGGGGGAAAAACAACCACTTTTAGAATAATTGAAGGGGCTAATGTGCTTACCTAAATAATTGAGGGGGAAAAGTGCATTAAATATATAAC